TTAACTAGTATTGTTTTCTTGAAATAAGTCGACAAACCTCTTAACGTCAAAGTTAGGAAGATATATTTGAAAATTTCTTTAAAGCTATGGTTCTTGCAAAAATTATCACTAAAAACTATTTTACCTAAAAATAAGGTTTCTTGCCGAGCAAGTTTCTATGCTTTTTAACTAATATTATTAAAACTCGTATTTTGGAACTTTTCCTACAGTTAACTAGCCAAGAACAATTCTTAGAGAAAAGAAAAGGAGTAAAACAAGGCTAGAGTTTTAGAAACTAGGGAAATCATTTTCCAAAGGTAATAAGGCTAGTTTGAACTTAAAGGAAGAAATATCGAGTTGGCAAGGTTGAGAAAATTCCTACATGACGTTCCTAACATTAACATACAGTGCTAGATTTTTATCGCACTCTACTAGAGTGAAGTTATATGTAAATAGATTGTTTTAGAACTTTTCTCAAGTACACAGGACCAAAACGGATTTCCTACGATTCCGATTGTAAGCACGTAATAAGTTAGATTCATCAATATAACAAACCAACATTTCCAATAGAAATCTCACTAGGGCTTCGTCAATCATTAGCCCTAGGTTTCAATAGGTTCATATCAAATCAAGAATAAAATAAATGACCAAGGCTTCATCAATCATTTGCACTTGGTTTTTGGCAAGTTCATATCACCTCTTCAATAAATCAAAAATGGAGGTAAGCCTCCAAGAAAATCCAGCAATTAAAGTCCATCACTTTTTAATATTTATAAAATCATTCAAATGGCCAAGGGCTTCATCAATCATTAGCCCTTGACAACATCAAACACTTCCAACCACAATTCAATCAGGGATTCAAATCACAAATAAGCTAAAAGTTCAATCCAAGTAAGGTTCGACATTTGCTTGATGTTTTTCTCTCTCTCTCTCTCTAAAAATTTCTTCAGTTTGCTCTACCATGGCTGCCCTTCAGCCGTCGGCTGAGGGGCAAGGATCTCCTACAGGAAAAAAATCTTTCTCCCAACTTTTTTCACAACCTTCAACATCTGTTATCCCAATTCGGCAAGCGACTGTCTACAAAGGTGAAGCTGCAGTCATTTTCTCCAGAGCAGATGCAGAAAAACTTGCGCGAGCCTTTTCGATGGTCTTTAGTTGCGAAAATTCTCTCATGGGAGACCTTCTTTAGAAGATATTCGCAAGTTCTTTGCTTCATTAAATCTAAAAGACCACATTTTCATTGGCTTGATGGATTACAGGCATGTTCTGATCAAGTGCTCCGCTGAAGCAGATTTTAACAGGATTTGGACGAGAGGGATTTGGCAATTAGGCAAATTTCCAATGCGTGTATTTCGATGGTCCCGGGAATTTCATGTGCTCAGAGAATCCTCTCTGGTTCCAGTTTGGGTTGAACTTCCAAATTTACCTATCCATTATTTTGATAAACATTCGTTGTTTTCCATATTATCTCCAGTAGGAAGACCATTGTTTTTGGATTCGGCAACGGCTGCTGGGACGCGTCCTAGTGTGGCAAGGGTATGCGTGGAGATCGATGTAGCAAAGCCTGTTTTATCGAGAATCTGGGTGGCGGTTGAAGGAGAAACCGGCTTTTGGCAAAAAATTGTACCAGACGATATGCCAAGATATTGCTCAGCTTGCTGGAGATTGGGTCATTCATCTGAAAACTGCAAGAAGAACTTCGTCGATGGGGGACATCAACACCAAAACAATCAAACCAAAAGGCTTAAGCATGGTTCAAAGCTGTCTGGAAATACTCAGCATAAATTAGTCGTTACAAATGAATGTAATGACTTAGAAGCTAAAGATAAATTATCAAAAGAGGGTACAACAGCTCCTGAACAAATGCAAAGTTCTGGTGAGAAAGAAGACGAAGGAATTACAACAGCTGTAACAAAGGAATCTGAGGGAACTGCTGATAAATGCAACACTGAAGCCAAAGGGAAAGCATCAATGGAATTCAAGTCAGCTACTGAAGAGGCTCGACTACGGGCGTAATCCAAATTGAAGGAACGTCAATAGGTGCAATTCTGGAGCACCTGAGCAAAACGATGCAGTTGCCGACGCTTACATGGTCAAGGAGGGAAAAAAAACAGCAGCTTAACAACTGATGCACATCCACAGTCGGTTGCTGATGCGCCATGCATGTCCATAAGGAGCATTCGGTAGTGGAAGACCAATTGACAGTTTGCTATGGAAATGATTGTGAGGGGCCACAAAGTCTCAGGAAACATAACGTGGGAATGGTTCAGCATCAAATGATCGACACCACAAGCACAACTAATCAACTGCCCGACAATTCCAATGGGAATATTCAGCGGGGCCCCAGCTTATTGAGGAGCATAATTTGGGATTAGTTTATAATGAAAGGTCCGACACCAATAATCTTTATTGACTTGCGTGGAGATGATGATGAAGATTCCAAATCCAATGCGGCTGATGAAGTAGCTTTGCCAACTAACGCAGGAAATTTATCTCCGAGATTGGTTATACCACGTGAGAAGTTGGCTGAGCCATCAATACACACTCTAAACATTGACCAATCTGTAGGTGTTCAAATGGATTGCCGACAAGATCGTGTTAAGGGTGTGCGAGCTGGCTTCACATCCGACAGACAGCTACGTTCAGCGACATCATCTCAAAACTCTTTCCAGGTTTTTTCTCATGATTAATGGTTTATTTTGGAATATCAGAGGGGTTGCAAAAGCCCCTAATCTAAGAAGATTGATAAATTTAGTTCGTGCTCATCATTTGAAGTTTGTTGTCATTTGTGAACCGAAGTTAGACGTGTCCAAAATTGAGTCCATTCGTCTACGATTATTATTTGATTATTCCTTTGTTAACTTATCGGGTGATATTTGGATATTCTATAATAGCCCTTTTGTGTGTTCCATTATTGGTAGTTCGGATCAGCATATTTCCATACATGTTCAAAGTCAATTGTTTTCTTCTCCAATCATCATGTCTTTTGTCCATGCTAAATGTTCATTAGAGGAGCGGTGTGGCTTATGGTGTTCTTTATTAAATGACAAGCCTGTGTCACTACCTTGGTGTATTGGGGGTGACTTTAATGTTATTTTAGCCCCTCACGAAAAACGAGGTGGACGTCCGTTTGCTATAGCGGAAGGAGCGGATTTCATGTCTTTTATGGAAGAGGCAGGGGTTTTGGATGTTGGCTTTTCAGGAGCTAGTTTCACGTGGTCTAATAATCGGAGAGGTAGAGCTCGGGTTTCAAAGAGATTAGATAGATTTTTAATTAATGGGTCTTGTTTGGATCTCTCAGACGTGATTTCTGTACTCCATCTGCCAAGACATCCCTCGGATCATGCACCATTGAAAATTACTTTTTCTGATCGATCAGACAATAGTCCACGACCTTTCAGATTTTTGAATGTCTGGACGAGCAAACCAGAACTATTGGATGTGATTCGACAGTCTTGGAATCAAGATGTGAGTGGAATCTCCGCTACGTGTTTTGTGCTCTAAATTATTGGCAACGAGGAGGGCTATTCATACATGGAACAAGCAACATTTTGGGAATATATTTGATGCTGTACGTTCTGCGGAAGTGGTGGTCCAACAAGCAGAAGAATCGATGGATCAATATGCATCGGAGGAATCTCAGGTTGAGCTCAGTAAGGCTCAGGCAGAGTTGCGGAATGCATTGTCAATAGAAGAGCAATTTTGGAGTCAAAAAGCCAGGGCAAAATGGCTTAAAGAAGGAGATCGTAATTCAAAATATTTCCATGCGGTTGTAAGACAGAGACGAATTAAAGGAATGATACACCGAATCAAAAAGTCAAACGGAGTTTGGGTGGACACCAATGCTGACATAGCAACTGAGGCCATATCATATTTCTCTGATCTCTTACTGGATATCTTGAGTCATCTTCTGATATGCAACATATGATTCCGCACATGATATCGGAAGAGGAAAATAGAAAATTAGAAGAAATGCCTTCGATTGAAGAGATTCATCGAGTTCTAAAGTCAATGGATGGAGATAGTGCTGCTGGCCCCGATGGCTTCACAGGCAAATTTTTTACATTCGCCTGGGAAATTATTGCTCAAGATGTTTACAAGGCAATTCTCAGTTTTTTCTGTGGTGCAGAGTTACCTCGTTTTATCACCTCTACCTCAATTGTATTAATTCCAAAAAAACCAAATCCTCAGGAGTTTTCTCATTATAGGCCAATCAGTCTGTGTAACTTCTTCAATAAGATGCTATCCAGGATCTTAGCTGATAGACTGGCTTCTCTATTGCCCAAAATTATCTCGCCCCAGCAGACAGGCTTTGTGAAGGGCCGTAATATAACAGAAAATTTTCTGCTAGCACAGGAGGTAGTATCGGGTATTGGGAAAAAAACTAGAGGTGGTAATGTGGTAATGAAGCTGGACATGTCTAAGGCATATGACCGAGTGGCATGGGATCATATCATTGGTGTTCTCAGGAGATTTGGCTTTGGAGAAAGATTCATTGATTTGGTTTGGCGATTGATCTCCAATGTCTGGTTTTCTATCATTATAAATGGGGCATCGCATGGTTTCTTTAAATCTACACGAGGCCTACGTCAGGGTGATCCATTATCGCCTGCTTTATTCATTATAGGAGCTGAGGTGTTATCTAGAGGATTGAATAATCTTGCTATGCAATCGGGGTTTGTGGGTTTCAAAGTCCCCTTGGCATGTCCTACTATAACTCATTTGGCTTTTGCGGATGATATTCTAATTTTTTCAAATGGATCCTCTTATTCTCTAAAGATTATCATGCAGGTGCTAGATGCGTATCAAAGGTGTTCTGGACAATTGATAAATGTGCTGAAAAGTTGTTACTTAGTACATCCCTCGATATCACCGGCAAGAAGAAGGGTGATTGAACGTATCACCAAATTTAATTATCAACCATTTCCGATACGTTATTTGGGATTCCCCCTCTACTTTGGCAGATGTAAATCATCATATTTTGGGGAAGCTTGCCAATCTATCCTAGGGAGAATAAGGTCATGGAAATCAAGGATGCTTTCTTTGGAGGCAAAATAGTTCTAATCAAACATGTGTTGGCAACGATGCCAGTACATCTGTTGTCAGCAGCGGTTATCCGGGTAAGGTATTTAGAACTATAGAAAAAGCCTTCTCGACCTTCCTATGGGGGTCATCCTCCGATGAGTCTAAATTTCACTGGATACGGTGGTCTCAGATGTGCTATCCGGTTGATGAGGGAGGAGTTGGTTTCCGGAGGTTACAGGACATCTACACAGCATTCTCATTCAAGCTTTGGTGGAACTTCAGAAAGGGATACTCGTTGTGGGCTTCGTTCATGAAAGCTAAGTATTGTAGACTACTACATCCTTGTCAGGTAGAAATCAGGTCAATGGACTCCGCAATCTGGAGAAGGATGGTCAATGTAAGTCGACAAGTGGAGCTATCTATGCTATGGGATATAAAAAACGGAGCTTGTCATTTTTGGTAACAATTGGTTGGGAGGGGGTGCCTTATTTCTCCGTACGACGGTTGTCTCTAATTTGTCGTTTGGTGATTTTATCATCAATGGACACTGGGATGTGATTAGATTATATCAGACTTGCCGACGGATCTGGTTCCCTCTATTTTAGAGCATCCAGTCCCGGAAGACTGGGGTGAAGCTGAAGTCATTTGGATGTCCACAACATCTGGAAACTTCTCTCTAGCTTCGGCATTCCGGGATATTAGGCAAGCACGAAACAAGTCTATGGTTTTTGATAGCATTTGGCATCCTCAGATCCCACTCAAAATTTCATTCTTCATGTTAAGATTGTTGCTGGAAAGGCTGCCTTTACCGGATAGGTTATGTAATCTTGGTTTACATTTACCATCAAAGTGTTTCTGCTGCGATACCGCATCAGAGGAGTCAATTGAACATTTATTTTCCAAAGGCCATATAGCTTCAACAGTTTGGAATTACTTTGGAGCTTCATGTGGATTGACTTTTCCAGGCTCTTCTTTACGCTCCCGTATAGTGAGTTGGTGGTTGCACTCATATGATTCAGAGATACAGCGATTATTGGACGCATTCTTCCCAGTATAGTATGTTGGCAAATTTGGAAAGCAAGAAATAAAGCTTTTTTTGAGGATGTACATATGAGATCGCCCGCCATTTGTGTTGCCATTTCCTTGGAAATCCATACCATTGTGGAAATTTATTTCAAACAAGTTTTCAAGGCACATTCAATCTATCATTTGTATGATTGGCCGTATTCATCTCACACTTATGTCACGTACAAACTTGTTTGTTGGGAACCAAAGGAAACCGGTCGGTTTACACTAAATACCGATGGCTGTTCTAAGGGTAATCCAGGATTGGGTGGAGGAGGTGGGGTTCTTCGGGATTCACATGGCATTCCTTTGATTGGTTTTTCGGCATATCTTGGAGAAACTACATGTCTAAGTGCAGAGGCCCGGGCTCTTCTTATTGGCATTCAAACATGCATACATTGGGGTTTTGAGAATCTCTATATTCAATCGGATTCTTTGGTATTAATTGGAATTCTTCAGAAACGTATTCACTGCCCTTGGAAGATTCGACGAGAGATTAGGCATATTTGGCAGTTCGTGGAAGATCCTGATCGTTTTTCACATTGTTATAGGGAAGCTAACACAGTCGCTGATGCATTGTCCAATGTGGGCGTCTCTCATCCAGAGCATCAACTCAAGTTATACGACTCCTTCCATATGTTTCCAACTATGGCTCGTGGAGCAATTCGCCTCGACAGATTAGGGATGCCTTCAATTCGGAAAATTAAGCGTATGAAGGGCTGAGGATAATGGAGAATTGGAGCTATTTTGCTTTTCAATAAGCACCAAACATTTCTGGTTCATTTGTTGTCTTTAGAGTTCAATCCTGTACTTCAAAATGGTGTTTCTTTCTGTGTAACAATTATTCTCATCAATAAAAGACTACAAATTTAAGGAAAAAAAAGTTCAATCCAAGTAAAAATTCAGTTTCATGAAGAAACAGAACATTAATACAGAACCAGTCTACTTTGAGGATTCATAGACAGCAGTACACATGGAGGAAAAATATGAAATTTCTACAGAACAAAGGCCTATGATTCTAGTTTCAAATGCCACGACGGCACCTTAAACGGATTTTCCTACACCAAGATATAAACATTTTTACTGAGACTGGTCAGGGACATCCGAAAATCTGAAATCTCATTTTTCACTTGTGAAAAACTCCTTTTTTTTTCTTTTAAGACCAAAAAGTTTTTATTCAACCATCCATACATTTCTCATAGAACTCCAAGACAACATATTCCAGGCATTTCCATCCATCATGTTTCAAGGAAAAATTTAGAAACCAAGCTGGGATTCCAACTCAATCTTCGGCTATCACAAAAGAAATTCAAGCGTTCATATACCAATATTTTTGGTTCCATCTTCCAATGTATCAATTATGTCATTGCTAAACAACTTAAACAACTTAAAACTTCCAACTCTTTTGTATTTCTAAACCATTATATTCCAAGGGAACAATAAAATAAATTTCCAAAAACCAATTGAACTTTCCAAAGAGAACCTGAAATTTCTGGTTCAACTTTGCGGCTTCCAAAATTTTCCAGCAACTAATATACCTTAGATCAAGTTTTCCTTTGGTTTAAACATGGTGTTAGGTACTCAAATCCAGCATGTAAACACTTAGCTAGCTATTAAAAATTTCCACTTCAAAACCAGATTCATACAGCAACTAAAATCATCCAGAAAAATCCAGAAATCTGTCCATCAGCTACGGATGAACATGCATGAAGAGACGTTCTGTTTTCATTTTATTTTTCTGGGTTTAAAACATGCTTTTAAACTCTCAACTTCCTCATGCAATTACTTAGCTAGCAAATAAACATTTCCAGTTCAGAAATCAAGTTCAAACAACAGCCATTAACATCAAAATTTTCTAAAATTATTCCAGCTTGGCTCGGATGAACATGCATGGGGCAGATTTCATTTTGATTTTGATTTTATATTTTTTTTTCTGGTTTAAACTAACTAATTAGCTACATGCAGAGCCTAATTAACTTGTTATTAACTATCTAATTATGGTTATAAGCTCAAACAACAACATTAAACCAAATCAGGCTGCAAAAATCAAGCTAAGCTCTCGGCAGCTCCAAAACTTGCACTTAACAGAAATTCTTTTCTTAAAACTCTCATCCGGCTGCCTATCATCCACATGCATGTTCTTAGATGGCTCAAACTTCTTGTTATTAGTTGGTTAAACACTTAATTGAGCTCAGATTATCGCAGGAAGTCAGAAATAAAACTACATTTCCAAATCAGCTCCTCGGCAGAAACTTTTAATCGAAACATAAATTTTTCTAATGACTTGATTTCATCCACCGACTGAGCAATCCATACATGCAAGCTCAGATATAGCTTCCTCTACTGGTAATCAACCTAATTAGTCCAGAAATTACCTCAGATACCAGCTAATCTCACACACGAAAATTCCAGAATTTTCTTTCCTTGCTCTCGGCTTCAAGTGCAGGTCGGTTGGTCCTGGTTCCTGAGTTGCGGCTGGAGTGGTGTTGTGGTGAGGTTGAGTTCGGTTGATTGGAGTTGGAAATGGCCACAGCTGGTAGAGGAAAAGGTGCGATGGTTCCTGGTATCTTCCCTCAGCTTACGGTCCGAACAGAAAATTTCTTGCAGCTCGCGATCCCTCCTCTCTTGCTCTCGGATGCAGCTCACAAGGTAACTCTCTCTCCTTTACTCTCGGTCCAAGGCAGAGGAAGAGATGAGAGGTGGTTGTGGAGAGTAGGTGTAGAGGCTGCGGTGAAATTGTGCAGAGGAAATGAAATGTGAAGAGGCGGTATCTCGGTATTAAGAAAGAAAGGAAATGGTTTGTGGTTTGTGATATGAATTGGAAAGAATGGTATAAGGTGCCGCGGTTTAGGAGCAGAGATTGCATGTAAGAATCGGTTGCGTATAGAATTGGTGATAATGTAATTGGTCGATAGTTACGGTGATGGAAATTGCTGTCAGAGGGTTTGTTTGGTTTGCATGGAAATGTAAGGGCATTTTAGTCTTTTCACTTTGCTCCCTAACCTCAACTTAATTTCTCAATCCAAATTAATTCCAAAAATTATCCCCAAGTGTGATTTGAACGCCTAATTATAAACTAGTATACTTAAACCATTTTTATCGAATATTTATCGATTAAACTTTAATATTAAGGTTCCTAGTAATTCCTACATTATTTAGTGATTAAATTAGTTATTAGAATTTCTAATTATTATTTCTCAAGAAATAGAGTTAGTCTAACTCGAAATTTATCGATTTAGTAATATAAAGTCAAGTGAAATAATAATTTAATCCAAGGGTGCCAATTTTGCACATAAAAATTATTTTTACGCACTTGTTGTGAAAACAAAGAAAGATAAGGATATATTTATCGAAATTTTCACGCCTTAAGTATGTTTAGTATATTAGCACCATGTTTATCTAAAATTCATTGGTTTTTATCTTGACGCGGAAATTCTTATTGGCATTTAACATTAGCAACTAATTGGAATTAATCATTGGAGTTTAAATAATTTATTTTAAGATAGTAAGGCTATCGACTCAAGTATCATTAATTTAGTATAAAGGAATTTAAGTATTCTAACATTTTATGTTAAGGTGAAAAATTTAATCTAACCCTAAAGATATTAATTTAGTCTGACAAAACCAAGAAACTTCATAACTTAGGAAAATTATATTATTTTTTACATAAACCTATTTTTACGTACTTAATTGCGAACAAGTAAAAGTAATGCTAGAAATTATTAAGGAATAAAAGAAATGCAAAAGAAATATGCACTGGCTTATATTTCTATTTTCAGGGTTCTCACATCAAGCGGCTTGGAGTAAAGATGACAACCAATCATGCCATGTTTGTTGAGGGGCAATCTGTCACTAGACCTCCCATGTTTACTGGTTCCAATTATGTTAGTTGGAAAGAAAGAATGATTATCTTTTTGCAATCCATTGATATTGAGCTATGGTTTATTGTGAATGAAGGACCGCATGATGCTAAGATTCTTGATGCAGATACAGGCTTGTTTCGGCCAAAAACAAGAGTTGAGTTGAATGCTCAAGATAAAACCAATCTCACATTGAATGCCAAAGCCATGAATGTTCTTTATAGTGCCTTAGACTCAAATGAATCCCTTAGAGTAAAAGGATGTAAATCTGCCAAAGAAATGTGGGATAAGTTAAGAGAAATTCATGAGGGTAGTGACAACGTGAGAGAACAGAAAAAATCTATCTTGATCACAAAGTATGAATCATTTAAAATAGAACCCCTTGAGGATATTGATAAAATGTATTGCAGGTTCAATGACTTGATCAAATATCTCGAGGTGTTGGGCAAAGAATACACCTTGGAGAGAAAAACAGGAAAATTCTCAATGCATTGGGCAAAGAATAGGAAAGTAAAGTGACTGCAATAGAGGAGGCTATGTGAGAACCCGTATTTCCCTAATATTTTTCCTAGGGTTTATTTCCCCTTAATTGCATGTTTTCTGCATTTTCTGGCTTAGGAATATTTTTTGGTGGATTTTATGAGTAATTATAGTTTTTAGATGATTTTTCTAATATTGGAGAGTTTTTAGAAAATTAAGAATATATATTGGACGTGGGACCCACTAGTGTGAAAAGTTCGAAAAAATTCGGCCAATTAGGTTAAATTCCGGATACTGTGTGAAATTTATCGGGTGTTAAGAGATAAGTAGAGAGTGGGATTTGATTGATGTGAGAGGAAACAAAAGGATTGACATGCATTAATGGAGTGCCAAATGTCACTTGTTGGTTGGTTGGACTTGTAGACAACTATTCATACTTTTGACTATTTTTGACTAAGTGGTTAATATCTCCAAAATTCACTAAAATTCCCTCATTTTTTCTTCACCATAGCCGGCCCTCTCAAGCTCAAGAAGGAAGAAAACTTCATCAATTTTCAAGCTTCCATTTGGTTCAATCTTCCAAAAACAAATACCTAAACTAGATTCCACTCCATAAAATTCCTCCCTTGGGTGCTAGTAAGTAGTTTAGTGAAGTTTGTTTGAAGAGCTAAGGTGTCCAACATCTCTACCTCTCTTGGTTACTAGGTGAGTGGTGTGTGAATGCCCTCTTACACTTAATGAAGCTTAAGTTATGTTTAGTAGTGGCTAAAGTGATGATATATGTGATTTATTTCTTGGTTTGAAGTGATTTGGTGAAGTTTTTATTTTATTGATGAATTTTCTGGTTTAATATGATCTTGATGTTGTGGACTTGTATGATGATTGGTAATGGCCTAGAATGACTCTAGTAGGTGGGAATTATTGATAATTGCAACCAATTTTGGATTTGGATTGAAAAATGAAAAGTTAGGGTTTCAAAACCCCTAATTCTGTCCGGTTTTGGATCATAGGGTTAGAGGCCGAATTGGACTTTGCTCAAAACATGAAAGTTGTAGGTATTGATGAGTTTGAAGTGTATACAAAATTTCAGGTCATTTGAATTAGTGTAGAGGGAGATATATCGATTTTACTATTGCTGATCTGGGTTGCTCAGAATGTGAAAACTGCACTTGTAATTGACTGTTTTGACTGGAATCGGTTTGGATTTTGTTGTTGGTGTCTTCTTATGAAATGTAGCTGGATGTATTAGCTATGATATGCCTTTGGAATCAATGCATTTGGACTTGTGTAGACTGAAATAGACTAATTACAGCATTGTGTGATTTGTAAACCTGTTTTTGGTGGTTGTGGTGTAGTATTTGGCATATTTGACCTAGTTGTGCT